CTTACTTTGGATCTTCTACTATACTTACAACACATACCGAATACCTGTTATATACCAGGTAGCCAGGTGCTTGGTGTTGATGATGGAGTAACAAGTTGGACCCTGCCCTTCTCAAGGGTTCACCGTCACATATGTAGAAAAACTTCACTGTAATAGATGTTGGTCGGTATGTTTAAATAAATTTGTGTAAAGTGCTACAGAAGTACAGGTTACATATATGTAATCCAAAAATCTGAAATGTTCCGAAACCTGAAACATTGTGAGCACCAGCCTGATGGCAGAAGTGCAAAATTTCACACTTGATCTCAAGTGTCCCATTGCAGTCCCACAGGTGCACTAAAAATATTGTATAAAAGCTAAAGGAGATATGATTCACTGGGTCTGGGAAGGGAGAATGAGCCCCAAAAGGGTAAGAAGTAAGTGACAGAGTAAGGATTGGGATTGTACTCAGTGGCTCACAAAGGCCAAACAAGGGCCAATAGGTGGAAATTGCAAGAAGGCATATGTAAGCCCTTATAGTCCTGCTATCTAGAACTCTCTAAACCTGGGACAAACTATCCCATAGTGTGACAAGAGCCTTGTTTCCACCAGGTAAATCAAATATGATAGAAAGATATTCAGGTATTAAAAAGGGTTGGAATAGATTCATCCAGCAACTTTCCTGTATGGTCACAGCATTCTGAGAGGCTCTTGGCATTTCATAATGAGTAAATCATAGATCCTGGCCTCAAGGGAACAGTCAGGTGTACAGGCAAGCCCATGGGATGTGAATATGGCAGTAGAATCACTGTGCTGGGTGTGTGTGTGTGTGTGTGTGGAAGGCTTCACAGAGGAGGTTACTTCTAAGATAAGGCCCAGTGGACAAGAGCATAGTCAAACCCTGGTGGTGACAGGGAAAGGGAGGGTACCTAGAGATGCCTTCTAAGTCTAATAGTCTGTGCACATTTATTGGTCTATGTACTTTAAAAAATCTATACCTTTTACTTAGAGCAGAAGATAAATAATATTATTAGGTTTCCTTTTAAAATTGTGATCAGCTTAATCACATAGCCTCAAGGTTACACACATGAAAGATAGAATTTCACTGAGGGGTGGAATGTTGCTCAGATGTGCTCCCCACTCTCCCTCCCACCCAGTTACACTGCTACTTTCCCACTAGCATGATCTAGTTCTACAAACCATCTGTCCTCTTCTTAAATCAGTGGATATGGGTCATGGGCTGGTGGTGTGAGTTTTTGGAGGTACTGAGACAGATGCTTAGCTCAGTACTGACTGTCACCTCTCTGTGGTATTCCAGGGCTATCAAATGAAGTTTTTAGGTGGTAACATTTGTCTTTTCTCATAGAGGATTGACAGTGTCTGCTTGGTCATCATCCTGTGTTTATTAGGAGTCCAATTGTGCTCAGAAGACTGCACCTTCATAGGGACCAAGTGAAAAGGGTTACCATACCTGATCATCACAGACACAGCAATGCATCCACCAAGCAATCATTATAGTATTGGTTAAGCATGAGCTGGAAGCAGAACACTCAGTATCCACATCTAAGATACTCTGTGGATGATCCAGGGCTGAGTTAAAAGGCAAAAATGGAAGCTGCCACAAGGAATTCAGAGAAGGGAGAGAGGAAAGTATGCTCCATTAGAAAAGAATTCAGTATGAAGGAAGGATCCAAATGTTAAAGCATGAGGAGACCATAGAGTCCAAAGAAGGTCATTCCAAGTGAGAAGATGATGTAGACCAATGCATGGAGGTAAAATTGAGCTGAACATGAGAAGGGTTGTGGTGAGACTCTTGGGCTTATGAGACTATTAAACTAGGGTCTCTGAGTCCTAGTGGACCATTAATGAGCTGTATGACTTTAGTATGTTACTTAATCATTCCGGCCAGCTTGTAAATTTAAGATGTGGAGATATAATAATAACCAACCGATAGGCTGATCTGAAAAAAAATGATTCAGTAAATGACAATATTTCAGCCCCTGGCTGAATGTTTGGCTGCTACTGATGATGATGATGATGATGATGGTGATATGGAGACGTGAAGAGGAGATATCAATAGGGAGACTGCTCAAGTGTACTGGGGTTAATTTTCACTCTATCTGGACTAGCATGCAATTGCCAACAGAAATTGAAAATAAAAGCTTCATTCGTAGGCAGGAACAAAAGAAGATCAACCTATTCAAGTCTGAATCGGTCCCTCAGGTGTTCAAACATGCATACAACTAGGGACAATGGCCAGACTTTCCTGTTCTGAGAGTCCCAAGCTCTAGGCTGACATAGGCTGTGTTAACAACAATCCTTCCTGGGGTCCAGTTCACAATATTTGATGTTTTTGGATCAAGAAGAGTCTCTCTCAGGAGTGCTTGGCTACTCCTCTCCCAGACTTCAAACCTCAGTGTAAGCTGATGCTGAACATTCTACAATGCTCTCAGAAGTTTCCAGGAGGGCAACTGGCAAGGTTATAACCAATGTCCAGGGGTAGATTTACTCTAATGGCATTGGCATAGTGTGTGCTTAGCCTCTAAGGAAGACAAAAATACTTAGATAGAAATACTGATTTTTATATGCATTATACAGTATCATATAAACACATCATTTTAGATTTTAAATTACTAATGAAATCCAATGGGCAGGTTCTGGAGAGAGGTTGGCCTTGAGTGTCTGGCATCGCAGTCAACATTTCGCATTAAGCCTTTGTTATGTGAGAGCTAGCTTTAGGCATAGGTGAAAGATGGTGCTATCTAATGCAGGGGTGTGGTAGGCAGCCTTGAAGATGTCTCCAAATGCTCCTTGCCTCCTAGAATTTATACACTTACATGATCTCCCTACCTGATGAGGGCTGAACCTAGCAACTTGACTTTTAAATGAACAATAAAGGAAAGTAATAGCATGTCACTTCTGAGACTGGGTTACATGAAGACTATGGTTTCTGTCTTGTCCGTCCCGTCTCACTGTCTTACTATGAGGGAGACCATCTGATTTGTTTTAAGCTACCCTTTGGAGAGGTCCATGTGGCAGAGAATGGAGATAAGGCTCTGATCAGCAGCCCAAAGTCCAAGGATTGTGATTCTGGAAGTCATTTTGGAAGAATACCTTTTCTCTACCTTGTCCGACATTCAACCTTCAGGCGAAACCTCAGCCACATATTGCAACCTGACCCTGCTATATGACTTATCTGAAGCCAGGAGTACCTAGATTCCCAACCCACAGAAACTGAAATAGTACATGTTTGTCATTTTAAGTTGCTGTAATTTGGGGCAATTTGTTATTCAGCAATAGATGGAAAACGAGTTGAGATGGAATGAGATGGAGGCAGAGAGAGGAAAGGTCCCTGTGTTTCAGTGGTAGTGTCTAAATTGTGGGGCACCTGGCACCTGTGTCCAGACTAATGTGTCAAACATCACTTTTTATCACATTACTTCCTGCCCCCTAATTGACAATACCTCCCCTGCCAGGTTGAGGACCAAGTCTAACTTCTCATTCCTGAGGAACGTTACCTAGCTGAGTGCCTCTTTCTCAGGATCTCTTGTGAGGTTGTAATCCAGTTATCAGCAGGAAGAGGACCTGCATCTGAACTCACTCAGGCCACTGCTGAGTAACTACTTCCAGGCGAATTCACAGGGCTGGAGTCACTTCTCCTAGCGAGAATACTCACTAGGTGTTGCCTAGGGATGTCAGTTTCTTATGTACTGATGGGCTCCTCCACAGGACTTCTTACGGCAGGGTAGCTTGTTTCCCCTAGAATGACAGGCGTGAGGAAAAGCACAAAAACAAGAGAGGCCCTCAACTTGGAAACCGCAGTTGTTTTTTTATAACCCAGTGTTGTGTTACTTCTTCCATGTTCTATATCCAGCTCATACCCCAAAAGAGATGGGGATTACCCAAGAAAATGAACATAAGAGGCAGGCATCACTGGGGCCATTTTGAGTTGGCTACTTCCAATCCTTAATGCAGAGCACTCATTTCTCCCCACCCTTGCCTGCCTGTGGTACTAATTTAAGATCTACCACTTGTGAGTACAGTGTGTGTCATATTCCACTCATCTTTCTCTGGAGCCTTGATACACGTCTGTCTCAATACACATCTGTCTCATCTTTCTAACTCTATAACAAACAACCTAAAAGCACAATTGCATCTGCAACTTCTTTCTGTCTCCCTCAATCATTGCCATCCCTACAGTGTGTGGGGCCCCAGGCAAATATCTTTGCGTGGGGCTACATTTATATGAACAATTCAATTAAAACATGCATTACAAGGGCTAGGGGGTGCAGCTCAGTGGCAGAGCACTTACCTAGCATCCATGAAGCAATTCATAGACTCATGTAACATACAGTGATGTATCAATGGAGATTTGGAATAATGAATAGCACATAGAAACTTACATTGTTGTTAATTGTACGAAATTGTGCACGTGGAAATCCCTCATAGTATCCAGGAGACATTTCATTCTATTTAAGCTCAGAAAACATCCCTTTGTCTTTTTTATTGTCAAATTGGCCATTCCTGCTAGGTCTGCATCTTTCATTTAGCAATACTATGCAGGTAGCATGTGCTACTTTACCCACAGTGCATTCATTCTTTGGACTTTGTTTTTAATTGAGATAATATAGGTTTTCTTTCCTCTGGAATTTTCTGTTAAACATTTATGCAATGCTGATTTCATCACTGTTCAGACATTGCATTACCTGTCATACTCCTGGGATTGCTGGCATCCTACAGCTCCCTTAAGAGCTCTTACTGTGCTTTGTTGATGACAACCTCACCTACCTTAATGTGAAAGATAATTTGTTTGTTTTCTTTACTTTCCAGAATTTTAAAGCATAACCATAGAAGAGTCACTAGACAGTCATGTCTTCTTTTAATCTCTCTCATTGCTACCCTAGAATTTGACCTCTTTGACAACCCTGTCCCCCAACACTGTCATTGCAAGGGAAGAGAGATGAGGTGCCCATGGAGTGGCCTCATGCATATAAGGAATGTCTGTTCTTTACCCAACACAGATAAAACTGATGCAAAAAAGCTAAATGGGATCACAATAGACTGAAGGCAAGAGAAGAAATTGATCAGAGGGTTCGGTGTTATAGTCACGATCTTGAAATCCCTCAGAGATGTAAGTATAGCCATCCCAAGGGCTGCTCAACAGCATGGGGGTTGTGGACAGGGTGGGCTGACTGAGTTGAGATTACATGGGGTGAAAGCTGTTGTTGCCACTCTGCCACCTTCATATCTGAGCCTCACACATGGCTTAGGCCTAACAGTTGGTGCTGGGAGATTGGTAGCTCAGAACCTGGAATTCTTCCTGTGTCTGATATGAAAGACTGAATCAGGGTGTTAGAACCATCTGTCAGCCCAGGGTTGTGTGATTCTAAGAAGGAAATGTCCTGGTTAGGAGGAATGTCTACTTGGTAGGCACATTCTTGGAACTGGTGACAGCCCACAAAGACTAGAAAACTGAAAGAGCCAGATTCTGGAGACTGTTGAGAAATTTTGTAGATTCTACATGTAAAAGAGAGTCAGAGAATGTCCCAAGGGGAAGAATGGTTTCAGGGTTAAGTGTCCCACCTGGATGGCATTTTTGACCCTGAATAGTCCCAGACACCAGAGGGGGACTTAGGAAATGTTGAGAAGTCTCTCCAAAATGCAGGGCCCCCTAAGGGACAGGTTTAAGGACAGTATTATCCACAACAACCTCTGTAGTGTCATTCCTAAAGGGGGACACAATCAATGCAGTAAACTGTGGACTATGAGTGAGATAATAGCAAATGCCCACATCTAGACTTCTAAAGTACCACCAGTGTTAATAAGGGTGATGGTGGGCAGAGTGTCAGTGTAGGGTTCCTGGAATGGGAACTCAGAGATGCAGATTCGAGTGCAGGGTGTGCTCACAACATCAGCAAGTGTAGGTGGAGGAATGATGATGAGTGGATCAGGTTTGGACAGAGAGAAGAACTGAACCAAGACCATAGATGATCCCAAGGGGAACCCCAGGGCTTGGACAACCCTTGAAATTTATCCCAAATAGAGGCAAGGTGGATGGATCCTCAGCCCCTCCTCTATCCATCAGACCAGGCTTGGGAGGAGGAGCAAGCTTGAAGGAATTGATTCTCTTCATCTGAGAACAGTTTCTGATGAGATTCTACTGAGTGAACAAGCACCTTCCCAGACTTTACAGGAAAGAGTGTTTCAGTCTTGAGGTGGGGAGGAGGGAGTTATTTGGTCATCACAAGAACACTGTGAAATAGGGATTTCTTGTCATGAATGAATGATGAGCCATGGTTATTAAGATGGTCCACAAACAGACTTGTTAACGATAGTCTAAGAATCTCCAAGCTTTTCTTGTTGAATTAAATAGAATTCGATGTCTTTGAGAAGTGTGTGTGTGTGTGTGTGTGTGTTTAGCAGAAATGGAATCAACATAATGTATCCCTAAGGGAAGAGAGAAGAGAAAGAGAGAGAGAGAGAGAGAGAGAGAGAGAGAGAGAGAGAGAGAGAGAGGTTTTAAGAAATTGGCTTATTCAATAGTGAAGGTGAGCAAGTCCAAAGTCGTCAGTGTGGGCTGGCAGGTTGGAGACCCAAGGAACAGTTCCAATCCAAGGGCATCTGCTGGCAGAATTACTGTTTGATCTAAAGGAGATCAGTCTTTTTCTATTAATGTCTTCAACTGGTTGAATATGGCCCATCACACCCTATGAAGGATAATCTGTTTTACTAAAAATGTGCTGATTAAAATGTTAATATCATCTTAAAATAGATTCACAGGAATACCTAGCATTATACCAACCAAACATCTGGGTGCTATGGCCTAGCCAAGTCGACATATAAAATTAGTGTATGTGGCTGTATATGTGAGAGGGAAGGGGAAGCATTAGGCTCCTCAAAAACAGGAAGAAGGAGTCTCTCTATCACTTTTCTCTCCAACCTCTTTGCTTTTCTCAACCAAGCATATCATACTCACATGCACCATAGCCCTCTAAGCACTGGGCAGCCTGTCACAGGGGCACGACTTCCCCAGGGAGGCTGGCCTTTGCAGGTGAAGCAGAGTGTGGCTCCATCAGGCCTTTGCCAAGCACCAGTCAAGTCAGGCAACTATACCTGCAGGGATGCTCACTTTGCCAGGATTATGCTTGGCTGGCGCGTCTCAGGGATGATGAGAAGCAGCTTAGATATTGTCTCCTACCTCCTCCACCTAATATGGAGCTACATCCAAACTCTTCCCAAATCCATATACAAAGAGTATTTTCATATTTCCCTTTTTCATTTCTGTGGATGCCTCAAACCTCCTGTTTGATCACTTATTTGGGACAAAATAAAGACCTAACAGTAATAATTTTTTTCACATGAAGAGGTAACTTTCCCTGGGAGAACCATCCAATTAACTTTGATATTTAGCCTACCTTTCCACTTTAATCACACCCTGAATATGGCTTTTGATTAGTAATACACAGAAGCCTTTAGGTAATCACGTGTATTTCTTATACACAGAAAAATGCTTACAGATCTTTTCAGCTAGAGCAATTGTGTGTAGCTTATTATTTTAGAATATCTTAGAGCTCTTTTTTCTTTGAACACTCCCTATTTATTAAGCCCAGGACTGGACTAGGGAAGAGAAAATGGAGATCTATAGTTCAGTGAAAAATTAGTAATGTTTCCTCCTCCTGGAGACAGGTGTACTTTTGTGCAGGGTGTTCTGTGTGTGAGGAGTCTTTCCTACACAATCACTTATCTTTGTGTTATGATGTACTTTTGTTCCTTTTTAAGGCATTGAAAAGTTCTTTGACTCTAAAGAAATGTACTTCTGACTCTCTCCCTTTATTGCTCTTGTTAAATAAAAGATATAAATTTAAAGAAATTCTGAAAGTGATATTTAAGATTGTATCAATCATATTGTTGTGGTCTGAATGCTTGTATCCCTTCAAAATGTATGTATAGATATGTAATCATCATCGTGGTGGTATTAGGAGGTGGTGCTTTGGGGAGGTGGTGAGGTCACGAGAGCCAAGGTCTCATGAGTGGGATTAGTGGCTTATAACAGAGCCCAAGGGAAATGGTTGCCCCTTCTACCATGTGAGGATGCATGAAGTGGGCATCATCCATAAACCCTCCCTAGACACTGAATGTGGCAAAGCTTTGATGGTGGGTGTCCCAGACTCCAGAATCACTGGAAATTAGTTTCTGTTGTTTATGAGTCACCCAGTTAGTGGTATTTTGTATATAGCAGCCTGAATGGACTGAGACACATATACACATAATAATGAAAAATCTCTTCAAACCTACCTTCCAATTTTTGTTTTGAAACTAAGTGAATTTTTGGAAAAGTCTACCTTTTCTGCTCCTTACCTAGTTCCACCCAATCCCCCTCTCACTTGGCAATAGAAAGTTTTTCTAATATGTTCTATTGTTTCTATTGAAGTGATGATAGTGTGTGTGTGTGTGTGTGTGTGTGTGTGTGTGTCTGTGGATGTGCGTGTAGTGCCTATTGGGAAGGTATGAAGAAGGGATAACTGGAGAATACCTCTCACTCTACTTGCCTGCCTCCACTCTGCCTTCCATTGGGTAACTGACCAGAGCAGGTAGTGTATTACCTGCAGTTTCTCCATGTCCATACTACATAACTCATGCTGCTTACTTTGGCACTGGGGAGGCAGGATGATGTCCCCATTGCTTTGCTGACCTGCCTATGGCAGGCATTGTGGTTGCTCTCCCCCAACTTCTTCCAATTCTTTGTTCCCTTGTCAGTCTCTCACTACAGAAGCTAAAAAGATCAGATGCTCATTTTCCCAGCATTCTCCCTGCCTCTTCCAGTTCCAGCTAGGATGGCTCTGTCATTCATTTCTGGTCAATTCCACATAAGGGAAAGTTGGCCGGCAGAGACTCCTGGGAAGCATTTCCCTCTCTGATGAAAGGAGAGAACACACAAGAAAAGAGCCCTGGTGTTCTCTCCTGCTTCTGATGTGACACAAGAAGACATGACACTTGGAGCAGTTACAGCCATTTTGCAACCATGAGACATCCAGATAAAAAGCCAACATTCTGGGATAGGTGAGGTAGAAGAATGAGAACAGACTTGGTGGAAATAGCAGTGCATATCTGGGACCACCCACCTATGATTTTTCCATTAAGTAAACAACATGTCCTTTTTTTTAAAAGTTTTTTTTAAAAGAAGAAATTTGTAGCCAAAATAAATTCTGACTCATGCACAAGCCAGGTATCTGGTTCAATGAGACTGTATAAATAAATAGATCCATATAGATTATACATACCCATATATATGATGATTAAATAAGAGAGTTAATAAATGAGACTCTCATCTCTACCACTTCTGCATGCATTCTGGCTGTACCTGACTGTTAACAAGGCCTAATCTAGAAGACTAGAAGGCTGGACTGGGATGGCTTGATGGCTTTTTTTAATCTACTTGGCTGATGGTAGATGCTGAGAAGGGTCAAACATCTGAGGGCTGGAACAGCTGGCTGTTCTTGAGCATCTTTTTCTATATATTCTCTTTTATATAGTCTCTTTATTCTCTCACTATATATTCTCTTTTCTCCTCTTATTCCTTCTAGGATTGAAACTTCAAAATGGTGGTGGTGGTAGGGAGAAACCCAAGAGGAATTGGTATTCTTTGTATGATCTCAGGAGTCATGTAGCTTCACTTCTATCATATTGTATTGGTCAGAGTGGTCACCAGCCTACCTTGGTTTTAGGGGAGGGGAAGTATATCCCTCCTTGATGAAGGGTGGAAACTTCTAGAAAAACAAGTGTACTGGATAAGTGTTTCCGATGGTCCATGTGTTTTAGGCTTGCTCCCCAGGGTGGAGCTATTGGGAAGTACTCGAGTCTTTAGGAGATGAGGCCTAGTGAGAGGTCCTTAGGTCCCTGGATTATGGCTTTAAAGGTGATCATGACTCCCTGTTATCCTTCTCTTCTTTGTCCCTCCTTGGCTATGAAGTGATTGGTTTTGCTCTGCCACATCCTCCTGCCATGATGTGCTGCCTTGCCATAGGCCCAAAACAATGAGGCCAAAAAACCATGGACTGAAACCTCCAAACCATGAACCAATATAAATCATTTTCCTTATAAATTGATTATTTCAGGGTTTTTTTTTTTTTGAGACAAGGTCTTGATATGTAGTTCAGGTTGGCCTTGAACTCACAGTGTGGCCCAGGCTGGGCCTCAAACTCACAGCATCCTCCTGCCTCAGTCTCCCGAGTGCTGGGATTACAGGTATGTGCCACCATGCCTGTTTTTTTTTTTTTTGTACCACGAATCAAACTCAGGACCTTGAGCTTGCCAGGCAGGCATGGGTGTCACTGAGTTACATCCCCGGCCCCTTTTCTTAAAGTAATACAAAACTGACTCATACAATGTGGAACTGAAGTATTACTATGACCACTTTTGAAAAAAAAATCCCATTTGCTACAGTGCCTTATATATACCTCTGTTATAATATTGAGCATTTTGATATAATTAGTCTCTTTCATGTCTCTCTGATAAAGGATGCGAGTATATCGAGGTTTTGGATTGTGATTTTTATTTTGGTGGTACCAGAACCTTTGTTCTGAGCTACATTTCCAGCCCTTTGTAAACTTTTTATTTTGAGACTAGGTCTTGTTAAATTGCTAAGTTCAGGTGGGGTTTGAACGTGTGAACCTCCTGCTTCAGCCTCCCAGAGTGCTGGGATTACAGGCATATGCCATCATGCCCAGTTTTGAATTGTATTTTATCCATGTTAGTACAAGTAGTATATTTCTGAGGATTGCCTTAACCTCTCTGGGTCCTATTTGTGTGTGGGGGAAGTATCAGAAGTGGAAAGATTTTTGACCTTTGTCACGGTCATGGCCAACTCTAGCATTGAGTCTGCAACTCTTTAGTGGAATGAAAATAAAAGGTCAAGCTGGTATATACGCTGGCTAGGATTTGCTTTCCTGCCTCTCAAGCTCATAGTATTGCTGTCTTCTAGAAATTTCAGCCATGATTAAATGTTCTAACCTGTGCCGTCCTGGGTCACATGTAGCTATTGAGCACTTGGAATGAAGCTAATGTGACCAAGGAAGTGAATTTCATGTTTTGTTTGATTCACTGAATTTTAGTTTAATTTTAAACAGCCTAATGGCTACTTTATCGGGCAGCTCAGGTCTTGAGGATCAAATTTAGCAATTCTATCCTTTTGCAAGACCAATTACTACTTGCTTTTCTTTCTTCAGCAAAAGAAAGCCACAAAGGTTTTTTTGTGTCCCTTCAACCCTCCACCAAAATACTCCTTTAAATTCCAGAGACAGCTCTTAATTGCTGGTTTCAGCAACTTTCTCCTCCTGCCTTCATTTTTTGGGGGGGTGGTGGTGCTGGTTGTTTTGCTATATAATACCCCCCCTTGTTTTCTACCTAGAAAAATAGTTCCTTATGTCTAATCTGTATCACATACACTAATGTAATCATCTGTGTTGAAAGGTTGTAGATATTACGTAAGTCAGTTACCATTTTCATACACTTTAATTAAGCCCTCTTTTAAACATTCCTGCTGTTGACTGTGTTCATTAAGAACCTTTAATCTGGCCTCTGCAGCTCCCTTGTTTAATTCCAGTTGTCATTCTCTGTATGCTTCCTGTTTGGCATGTCCTGCTTTTTATTAAACTGTCAGCAGAATGTTCTTGCTTTTATGTGGCTTGTGAAGAGTAATGAGCTTTGTCTTTTTTGTAGTTTCAAAAGGGGGTGGTGATCATCTTAACTTTATTGGCAAAAGCATGTATTCACTTTGTAACCCTGTTTGACCAATTTGGAGAGTGAGAACAAATATGTTTTCTTCCCTAAGCCCAGAGTGGCTGCCAGGCAAGAATTCAGGAAGCATGACTAGGGTTTCAGAGCATTAACATTTATTTGAAAGGCGAACTTTATTTTCATAAAAATAAGTGTGAAATTGGAACACAGAGTGCCCTGGGGATCTAGGTTTTGCAGCAAGGACACTTAGACTGCTCTAGAAAGAAGCCACAGACTGCCTGGGGCATTTATAGAAAATCATTGGATGATGAGGAGAGTGTAATATAGTGTCATAGCCGTATTTAACCCAGTGAAGAGCACCTGTATGCATGAATGGATAGAGGGAGAAAGAATTTGATCTAGCATTTAATTCATTCTTGTACCCCCCCATCACTCATTCAGTTCCTTTTATAACTATTTTATAACTATTCAGTACCTTTTATAAGCCAGGCACTATACCAGTGAACAAAAGTGGAGTTAAAATTTTGGAATAGAATAAGGGTGGGGGAGAAAGACAACAAATAAGAGCCAACAAAGTAAATTATAGTGCATTTGTAAGTAACACATGCTATGAAATAAGAAAACATAGGGCAGAGTAAGGGATATGCAAAGGCTGCAATTTCAATTGCAATTTTAAATACGATGGTCACTTTGGGATTCAGTGAAATGATATTTGAGCAAAGCCCTTAACTGTAAGGCCAGGTTAACATCTAGAGCAATGCCATTCACAAAGAGAGTGCTCAGGAAATATGGGCTGAATGCACAGACAAGAGTAAACTCTATTCATCCTTCCACTTGTGTTTTCAGATGAGCTTGAGATGAGGTGTGAGAATCTGCTTGAGATTTGATTATCACTCCATAATGAATGTTTCCAGTGTTAAGATTTTTCATCCGTCTCAACACCTAATGATAAGTCAACAATTTCATCAGATGTCTAATTGAAGTTTTAGGGAAGTGTTTTGTAGCCAGAGGGGAAAAATTGGTCTTACTGAATTTACTGAAACATATTTATACATGATTATTATCTCAGACTGGTACTTTTTCAATGTATGCAAAAGTAAATCCTGCAAAATATGTGTCTCTGCATTGAGCTAACATTGCCTATGTGGATTGATGGAACCAGGGGGAGGGCTGTGGAGATTTGCAGCCGGGAGTTAGAAAAGCCAAGCATCCCTAGCTTCATAATTTTGCCTGGGGCCAACCCTGTGGGAGAGTTTTAATAATGAACATTCTCCATGGCTCTAAAATTATTTAATTTCATGGTGATTTTACAACTCCCGTCTTAACACTGGAGGCACAATGAAAGTAGATCATTTGTTTGAGATCCTGCAGTGGGAAAATACTAAGGCCAGGAAAAAGTTTCATGTTTGTCAGAGACTTAGTTCCCTTGTTAGAGTCAAATGGACTGAGTTTAGAGTTAATTAAATAATTCATTCACTTATTTGAAAAATATAATTCAGCTCTATGGGTTGGCAGCTTCCAAGATAGCTCCTGAAGAGCCTTACTTCCTGGTTTCCATGTTCTTGTATAATTCCTTTCTATAATCAGCAGTGTTGACTTGGGTATGAAATAGGATATTGTCAAAGTGACAGGCTGTGACCTATGAGATCAAAGCTTTCACTTGGTTCTCTTAGGGCACTTGCACTGGGAGAAACAGCTATGATGTCTTGAGCAGTCCCCTGGAGAGAGCCAAGTGGTGAATTGCAACCTCCTGCCAGCACTGGGCACCATCTAGGCAGCCATGGGTGTAAGCTGTATTGGAAGTGACTCTTCCAGGTAAGCTGCTCCCAAATTTCGTATAGAAGCTATGAGATAATGTTTATTATTGAGCTGTTTTTACTCATGACACTTCTGACTGAAAACGAGTTGGGGTTTTCTACAACAACAACCAATTCTCTGATTGACCAGATACCCACTGGATGTTCAATTCAATTTGATTCAATTCAGTTCAATTTTAGAACTATCTGGAGTTAGTGCAGACCCTACAAGTTGAAGGTTCAGTGTCACAAAGCTGCTCCTTTCTTCAGATGTCAGTCACAAATCTTGGCCTAATTCTGAGTAACCAACTATAAACTGCCTTTTCAGACTCAATCAGTTTCTAGAATGGCTCACAGAAATGGCTCACATTTCACTACACTTGCTGGTTTATTATAACAGCCAAATGGAAGAGATGCAGAGGGAAAGGTATGGGGAGCAGGGTACATGGAATGTCCATTCCTTCCATGGGCCACCCTCCCAGAACATCGATGTGGAGACGCTCTAGACTCTGTTGTACTATAGGGATGCCGAGGCGGGTTTTATTACATAGGCCATAGATCAAATCACTGGCCAATGGCCCCAGGAGACCGGAGGTGGGAGGGTGGGGAGAAAGTTCCACTCCTTTAACCATACTGTGTGCTTTCTGGTGACCAGCCCTCATCCAAAATGTGTCTAGGGCTCCCCACCCCCGGTCATCTCATTAGCATACAAAATGACTCTTTTTACCATCCAAGGGTTTTAGGAGCTATGTGACAGAAATCAGGGACAAAGACTACTATAATCATATATTTCCCATTACACACAGTTGTTTTAAGGCTCTAAACTCTGAGCTAATATTTAACTTAATAAATACTTGATAACTAATCCAGATGTTGGTACAAAGGAGAGCTGACAAAAATTTGAAAATGTGGATTTGGAATGGGGTGGTGGGTAGAACTTTGAATATTAGTGAAAAGCTAAAGAATAAAGAATACTTGAGACATCTAAAATCAAGCTCTACTGACATTTGGTTGCAACTTCATCTTTTAAGAGAAAAATTGTCAGTGAACCCCAGACGACAGCTCCTTTCTCAGTCACTCATAAAATTGTTCTCCAGCTGGCCTTGAATTGTCCTGGTTCTCCCCCTTTCCTTACTTGTAGTTCTCAAAATAACTAGACTGCAACATCCTGAGATGGGACGGGTATGGGGCTGGCCAAAGGAGCTGGTTTTGTCCCAGTCCCCACTAGAAATAAGATGGCTTTCAAGGCTTTGACTCAGCAAGTCACATTGTCCCTAAGTACAAAGTCCAGGCTAGGCTGCTTTCCAGGTTTCTCAGCTGTAGTGCAAGTGGGCATGTGCAATTGAGACTGTACACCCTAGGTAGCTTTTCTGAGCCTTGGGGAACAAGCTAGCAAGAAATCTAGGGCTTCTGCTGTTTCTTGTTGCATCTCTGTAAGTAATAAACCCACTTCCAGTAACTGGTTATGTGTTGCTGTCTCATCAAATTCAGATAAATTGGTAACTAGGGCACAGTGAACCTCCTGCTTCACAACTCCTTGTTTGTATGAAAAAAACTGTCTTTGGTAGCTTTCAGGAACATTCTTAAAATGAATGATTCTTAAGTACCAGGAATGGTGTAAAAGCAGAAATCACTTTTGTCCTTTCTTTTGTATTCATTGGTTCAACAGCTACATATTGACCATATGCCATACACCAGGAATTGGAGACTTGGTGAACAAAGCAAATAAACTCCCTGTTCTCATGGAACATACTTTTTAGTGGAAGGAGATGGAGAATAAACAAACAAATGCCCGAGAATTTCAGAGGGTAATATAAGTGCTCTGAAGAAGCTACACCATGATAGACGTAATGCATATAAATAGCTTTCTTTGATCCCTGAGTACTCATTCATCTTACATCGCTACTAGCTTCTAGAATCTGACAATTTTGCCTATATTCCTTTTTTTCTTCCTACAATGTTTTTTGGCAGCCAGTTATGAATGAGAATTTTGACACCACAATCTGGAGATGAAACTCTTGAATTAGCTGGTTGTTACACAAGTGAAACATGCTCAAATTCAGATAGACAAACTTGCCTAGGTAATGAAGTGGGTGGGTGGGCATGGACTGAGGTCAATCACTCAGAGGACTTTGCAAGTAGCCTGTTGTGTAAAACTCCATGGTTATCCCAAAGGTCCCCTTGCTTAAAGAAATTAAAATGTATTCATTTCCCTCCTTTTTTATATACCTTAATTAAAAAAAATTAATTTACTTTGTTTTGATGCATTTTAGCTTTCAAAAAATGTATAATAACTGTACATATTCATGGGATATTGTGTGATAATTTGATACATGTGTATAATGTATAATATTCAAATTAACTTTTCCATCTTCTTAAACATTTATCACTTCTTTGTGTTGGGAACCTTTATACATCACTATTCTAGTTCTTTATGAAATATAAAAGAAATGATCATGAACTGTAATCCCCCTACTGTGCTGTAGAACTTAGAAGTAATTCCTCCTAACTGTATTGTTAGCATGCCCTAACTTTCATTTATACCCCTGCCCCACATTTGAATGCCTGTTAGTGTAGCGTACTCGTGTTTAGTTTGATGGCAAGGTGAAAAGATTCCACAGAGTAAAATAGATGTTTAAAAATGTAACTGGATCCTGAATGCTGTGTATTATGAAATTGTGGCTATGGTGTGGGCCATTTTGATCAACAACAGAAAAAAAGAAAGGGCTCTGTCACATACCAGGCATGCCCTGCACAGCAAATTTAATTCATGCTGGGCATTGACTGCTTCCTGGGATTAGTCCATGCATGCATGGATGGACGATAGCATTTATTCTGTTTGGAACCCTCACTTCAAGAGTCCTGCCTCCTGCTCCACCAAATGTCGACAATCTCTGTGATATATGGGTAAACAAACAACAAACACTTACAACAGTATGCATAGTATATGTGCTACCGAAATGAGCACCACAACAGTATGTATAGTAAGTTACTATGTGCGTACAATGGGAGAAAATATTTATACATAGCCATTCCTTCATTATTAATGCTAGGTGTTCTGAACATAGAATTAAACAAAACAGATGAAATATTATCCTCAGTAAATTTTTATACCAATGATGAAACAAAATTCATTTATTTTGGAACAGGGCTATTTGGAGAATGTTGAATTATCTATGAGAGGTAAATAAAGGAAACTTGAATAAACTGGATGGACAGGGAGAGGATCTTGGAGAGTCAATGAAATAAAAGGTAGTAATAGTACTTTTACAAGTGTACATCACTTAAAGTAATTGTATTGAGAAAACAGTTTAAGCTCTCTTAAACAACTAACAGCAGGGCTGGTGGGGGGAGGAGGGTTGGAATGAAGGGCAGGAATTTGGTGGATTTCCCCCAGTTTGAAGGAGTTCAACAGCTAATCCTAAGGAAGGTAGATGTGGACTCCTGCTGTGACATTAATGAGACTCAGCTCTCTACTCCTAGTTTCTGGCTCTACATTTGAGTTTCTCAGAGATAAAATCATTACATTATGACTTGAAGGAAGACTGGCTCAATTGCTCAAGAGCTGTGTTTCTCCATTTCTTCACAAAACAGTAAGACTCACTTTCTTCCATGTAGGAGGAAGGGATAAGGTAGGATGCACTGGACATCTTTGAATGCGTTCTCTCACCACCCCCTTTTCACTTAACCAAAGGAGCACAGAATGACCCTCATACCTGCCTTCCCCCCGACTCCCAGGTTCCTTGGCAGAGTCTGAAGAGTTGAAGGAAAATGCTCACAATGGGGCTCAAATATTTTCAAAACTTTCAAATTCATATGCTTAAGTCTTGTCTCTCCCTTCTCAACTCAGAATATTACTTTATTTGGAAACAGAGTCATTAAGCAGGTAATCAATTTAGGTCATTAGGGTTGGCACTAATTCAATATGACTGGTGTCCTTATGAAAAGGATTTAGATGCAAACCTACATTAGAGGACAACAGGTGAGGGTGAAGGCAGAGGTTGAGTGGTGAAACTACAACCCAGGGACACCAGAGATTGCTAGCAAACCATCAGAAGCTAGAAGAGAGGTGTGGAATAGATTCTACCTCATAAGGGACCAATCCTGTCAACACCTTGATCTCCCAGCCTCCAGGACTGTGAGAAAATAAACTTCCATTGTTGAAGCCATTCCGTTTGTGATATTTTATTATGGCCAGCCATCCTAGCTAAATAATCTAGCATATAAACTGCTTAGGATAGAGTTTAGGATTGCTGCTATTATGCAGACCATTATTGACTTATATTGGGACATGGTAGGGATTATAGTAAGTAGTGGGTGAATGTCAATCACTATTTTAAGAACAAAAGACTCAGAGACTCAGACTTACAACTGTGCTTATCAGATTTATCCATGGAAGAAGAATCCGTAACTATTTTAGTCACTTTCTTGTCACTGGGACAAAATACCTGACACCTGCAACTTAAATAAGGAGAAGTTTATTTTGGCTCATAGTTTCAGAGGATTCAGTTCATGGTGAGCTCTAGTCCAGAAACAGCATGGCAAAAGAGCATGGTGGAGAAAGCTGCTCAAACCATGGCAGCTAGGAAGCAGAGAGAGAAGGGATGAACCAGTGGCAAGAACACACCCTTCTAAGTCACACTCCCAGTGACCGATCTCTTTAGACCTAGTGACTCATCTCTTTAGACCTGGCCATATCTCCTAACACACTTTAGCTATGAACTCACCAATGGATTAGTCCACGGATGAATATAATGCTTTTAATATCCAATCATCTCCCGAAATCCCACTTCTGAACACACAAGACATTTGGGGGACATTTTAGATATAAACCATAACAATAACCAAAGGGAAAACTTGGTTTCTGTTTAGACTGGATGTTGATTTTGCTGGAATGCACGAGACCAGGTCAAGGTGTACCTGCAGCTCTGCTCACCATTCAGTGAGAAGCTCTCAGCCTCAGGGTCCCTGCTATAATTGTGGGGTTGTGGGAAACAGAAATAGCAGCCACTGGGGTAT